TTAAGGTAACTAAATAAGTGAAAGGAGCAAATGTGTAGTCTCTAAAATAGTTTTACCTTTAAAGGATTGTTATGAACTGTTGATTTTTTTGGTTTTTCTCAAGACTAACAAACATTTATTAACAGTGTAATTTCGAAGGTTGCAAGAAGGCCTTTAAAAAACATCAGCAGCTGAAAGTTCATCAGTGTGAACATACCAATGAGCCTCCATTCAGGTGTGTGTTGCACGGGGCTGGTGGTCTCTGAAATTCTAGGTGTGAATAAGATTGAAATGCAAAGATTGGGAGCCGATGTTCTGGAACAGCTTCCTAACCAACGTTTTTCTGTTAATATGCATCATATATACCTGTTTATAAATGAGGGCATTTTAAAAGGTAAATTTTGTTTTGTTTCTTTAAAATAAATATTTAGTGTGTTTCAGAGTAGGCTATGAGATGGTACAGTTGTAGTCAAGCTTGAAGGGAAGGCTCAGGAGTGGCCTATCTGTTCATGTAGAGCCTGTGCAACTCCATGAAATGTCATTATAAAGGCACGAGTTATTTTCCTGTAGAACAAGACAGAAGTGGCCTCAASCTGCAGTTAGAGAGGGTTTCCTGAGGAACATGGAAGGGTGGCTGGACATGTCAGATAGAGCTACAAAGGGCGCCGAGGGACCAGAACTGTGCCTCATGCTGGTGCTCCCTGTGTAGTGGAGTTGGTCATTGTCTTCCTTCTGGCTCACGCTGGCTGCCCTGCGCCCTGGAGTTGCTGCAGTGACAGTGCTGTCATTGCTTGTAGGTCTGCAGCTTATTCCTGTGCTGTCAGTTCCTTTAACACCAAAGTAGTGTGTTTTGTTTTGTTTGGTTTTTGGTGGTGCTGGGGATCGAGCATGTGCTTTTTATGGCTCATCAGGGGCTCCTGCATCTGCTGCTGTGTTTTCTTATCACACAACCCACATCCTTTGTCACAAATTCCTCAGGATTGTTCAGGTATTTACCTAAGCCAAGTCTGACACCTCTTGAGGTATCTTTGTAGCCATGAAAGCAGAATATTTTTCAGTGGTATGATGATGAAGACTGTTTATATGATCATATAAACAAAGAAGTAATGTGGCTTTTTTCTCTCAAGTAGTTAATTTTTGCTCCAAGACTAATTAAGTGACTGGAATTTCATCTGTGATTAGATCTGCATTTTAATCTTACTTTGGTGACTGGTTGTGGAAGTGGATTGTTAACATTTCATGTGTTGTAACTCAGGTGTCCCCAGGAAGGATGTGGGAAGCACTTTGCCTCACCCAGTAGCCTGAAACGACATGGAAAGGTCCACGAGGGTATGTATGGATGGCCCTGTGGGCACTCACATGGACAGTTGGGTGTGTTYAATTGACTACTTGGTGCTTTCTATTCTATTCCATGGTCGTGCTGAGGAGCAAGAGGGATGCCCTTCTGCTTATTCAGGTCTTGTTCTTCCCCAGTGCCTGCTCCTGCTCTGCACAGAAGCTGTTTGTATCCAGCCAGGGCTTTGCTTCTTTACATCAGTCTGAACCCTTCTGTTTACTACCTGTGCTACTCTCTTCCTTATTGGCTATTCAGAAGGCTAGGATAATAGGGTGAAGTTTTCACAGCCATGAGACTGTAACTTAACAAAAACTGCTTGATTCCGTTAACTACTTTGTTGTCTTGTTACCAGGAGGGCTTTATGGTATCTATACTCTTGTTTTCCAGGTCCTAGAATTTATGAATTTTGTTTTTAAATGAATTAGTGAGCAAGAGTGCAAGACAGCCACATTCCTTTTTGGTTTGTAGTGGGAGAAACTCAGCCTGTTTCACATGGCTGATAATCCAGTTATTGTGCTTTGCACAATGTATATTTCAGATCACAGTGTTTTTCTCTGGATTCTCCTGGTTTATTTTCTTCCATAGCTATACCTTACTTGTTTTTGCAGTATGAAACTTACAAAGATCCAAGACTAGAGGTAGCTAGGGAATGGGCAGTGTAACTCCTGAGTCTTGGTGCTGATGGTCTGCCAAGGACAAAGGGCTGGGTAACACTTTTGCTGATGGAAAAAAGAAGCATGCTTAGAGAGGCAGGGAAAGGGAACATGAACCTGTGTGTGTGTTGGGGGGTGGGGTTAATTAGCAGGTGAAATATGCACATGGCTTACCTAACGAGATAGAGGCACCCTTCCTGGGGTATCTGCTAGGGTAAAGTCCTAACACGAAGCACCTTGTATACAATTTCAGACAATTTCACTATAATGTTACCCTTTCTTAAGTTTTTATTCTCACCTCTTGAGTCCAACAGAATTGAACGTTATTGGGAGAGAGGAGAAAGATTTTCAGGCATATAAGTTATCATAAGTTATCAGTGTTTACCCTGAATATTCTGAACAGTCTGAGCACCAGTCTTTTTTTTTTTTTTTTTTTTTTTGTCTTTTTTTAACAGGCTATATATGTCAAAAGGGATGTTCCTTTATGGCAAAAACATGGACAGAACTTTTAAAACACATGAGAGAAACCCACAAAGGTAAGGCCACATGAAAGACATGGTATAAATATTTGCCACTGCAGAATTGATGTAGTGCTTTTAAAGATTGGAATGTTACAAAAAAGATATGTTTTGTGAAATGCTGGCTCCCTCAGCTGTTTGCCAGGTTAGCAGAGCTGGGCCAGGTCTCCTGGAACTAGCATGCCATGACTTAACATGCCCAAAGGTTCTTGAAGTCTCCAGTGAACAGTCTTGAAGGCACCAGTGCTCTGTGAGGCGCTTGGGAAAACAGTGCCTCATATTGAAGGACACGGTGTAGGCAATATTTTGTTTTCTCCACCTGTCCAGTTACCATGCTGAGAACCTCTGCTTCTAGATGATGAACACCCAAGGGGTTTGGGAGTGATATAAGAAATTAAAAGAATTGAGACAAACCTCCTAGCAGTAAAAGTTGGGGTTAGGCCAAGCATGGCGACACATGCCTGTAATCCCAGCAACTTGGGAGGATTAGGCAGGAGTATCCCAAGTTCAAAGCCAACCTCAATAACTTAGCAAGATCCTAAGCAACTTGGGACTAGGGATGTGGCTTAGTAGTTAAGTGCCCCTGGGTTCAATCCCTGGTACCCCCCATCCCCCCGCAAAAAAAAATCCTGAGTTTCCTTAGAAATTTCTGTATAGTCATAGGTTTGGGACATCGAGTATGTTATTTATGCATTCAGCATTCATTTTTTCTGTGTGGCACTACCTAAGAAAGTTGGTTAAATTTGTCTGCTTCACAGAGGAAATATCATGTGAAGTATGCCAGAAAACATTTAAACGCAAAGATTWCCTGAAGCAGCACATGAAAACTCATGCCCCAGAACGGCATATGTGTCGATGCCCAAGAGAAGGCTGTGGTAGGACCTACACAACTGTGTTTAATCTCCAGAGCCATATTCTCTCTTTCCATGAGGAACAGCGCCCGTTTGTGTGTGAACACTCTGGCTGTGGCAAAACATTTGCAATGAAAGTAAGTTCTCCCAAATGTGAACAGCCCCCTTTCTCTCTGTGCTTATACATGGGCTTTGGATTGGCCTCCTGGGGTCTGCAAATGGGAAGAACTGCTGAGCAGGCATGACACACCTCCCACTTTTGCTTCAGCTGGGTGGTTCTTCATTCAGATCTGCAGAATCCACTGACTTCACCAAGTCTCAGAGTGTGCCCTCCACCAGAAGCATTGGCATCAACAGGGAACTTGTTAAAAATTAAGGTTCTCGGGCCCACTTTAACCCTGCTGAGTCAGAAGCCCTGTAGGTGGGGCCCAGGAATCATGTACTAAGTTGGGGAGCCAATGACCTTGGTAACTATGCTTATTTAGAGTGTGTTGATGCTTTGGGTTCTTCTAGATACCATCACTTAAGGACTTGGAAGGGGAAATGAGCAACAAGGAGATGAGGGGCCACAGAACTTTGGGGACTTCATCTAGGTCTGAGCAGCGTGCATGGGGTCAGTGAGAATGTGACACTTGGGAGGGGCCTATGCAGTCTGTATTCTCTCTGGTTGGTGTCTTACAGATTCTTACCACAATTATAATAGAGACTGAAGAGAGAGCTGAGGTTCACTCAGCACAGTCAACCCTGCTAGAAAACCCCCAGGAAGCTGAGGGTGGCCAGCACTGTCGCCAGTATCAGCAGGACATTGGTCAGGTTTCCCACTAGTGGTCAGGAATATAGTTTGGGAAAATTCAGTTTGAAACAATAAATGACTCGTTTACAACAGATTTCCCCCTCTTCAGGAAGAACTAAAAAGCCACAGTGGTTGGGGTTGTATACATTCCTAAAGTGGTCCTTGGAAGGACAGTGAAAATCACTAGTCCTGGAGTGAAGAATTCTTCCCTTACCCCAGGGGCAGGTATTGGGGGTGGATTTAAATCCTATCCTTGAACAGAAAGAAGACTAACAGGGTAAATAACTTCTGCAGCTTTCATGTTCATGGATTCTCCAGTGTTAAGGTTTTTAAAATACAAGGTTTCTTTTTTTTCTTCACTATAGCAAAGCCTCATGAGGCATGCTGTTGTGCATGATCCTGACAAGAAGAAAATGAAGCTTAAAGTAAGTTGAAGGTGCTTAGGGAAGTTCTTGGTTCTAAAACCTGCAGCGCCTGAAGCCTGGTGTGTGTTCCTCTGGCCCCACTGTGGGGCCTGCCCTACTGTTGAGGACCTGCCTCTCTGTAGGCGTGTTTCTCTGGGAGAGCACACAACTACTGTAAAACTATCCCAGATAATTCTGACTTCGAATTCTAGTTGTCTGTCTTCCTTATTCCCAAAGGTAAAACCATCTCGTGAAAAACGGAGTTTGGCCTCTCGACTCAGTGGCTACATCCCTCCCAAAAGGAAACCAGAGCAAGACGCATCTTTGCCTAAAAACGGAGGGTTGGGGAGCTGCGTGGAAAACACAGTGCTCTCCACAGTCGCAGTACTTACCCTCCACTAGGCAACTACTGGACCTTGTTGAAGGACTAACAACTGAATTTTCACTTGCTCAGAAGCCTGTTTTTCTTTATTAAAATCACTGATGCAGAACATTTGATTCCTTGTCATTTCCATTTTCTTTGTTCACAATGTCTCTTTTCTGGGCCTCTTGCAAGTCTCCAGGTGCCTTCTCTTCTTTCTTGGTCAGATGACGAAGAACACACATTAAGCCTTTTCCTCCTTTAACAGGTTGTGGCTTGGATAAGAAGGTAGCTATTCCAGGCATAGTCTGAACTATTTGATTAAGTATCTCTTCCTAAAACAGGAAAACAGTTCAAGAATAATTTAAAATCACACAAAAATGTGTGATGAATACACACAAAAATCAGTGTACTAGTGACTTATTTAAATAACTAGCTGATTAGTTCATATATCTGGTTAAGTGACTGAAATCTGCAGAGTAATTCTATGTGACTAAAGGAACACACCGAAGGCCTGACAGTCTTGAGTCTCCACTCTGTCCCAGCACTAAGGGGTCATATTTGGCCCCAGACTAGCCTCTCCTAAAAATAAGTACCAAAAACTACTTTGGCAACCTACCTCTTTATCCCCCAAATTTTTAGCTCAGTGCAGTTCCTAACACTGATGCTCACTATCACAGAATCACTTGTTAAAAAAATAAAATCATGGAGACTCTGGACTCCAGAAATCCTCAACCAATTGGGCTATAATCTAGGCCTAAATGATCCTAATATGGAATTAGGGTTGAAGCCAGTTTACCAATGCTTTTAGAGGGTGATAAAGTTACCCAACTTAAAAGTGGTACAGACAGGGCTGGAGCTGACAGCTCAGTGGCAGAGTGCTTGCCTTGTGTGTGTGAGGCATTTGGTTCGATCCTCAGCACCACATATAAGTAAATAAATAATAAAGGCACATCAACAACTAAGAAATATTTTTTAAAAAGTGGAATAAACAGCACATAAACTTGTCCTGGCATTGTAAATCAACACATTTCAGCTATAGAATTCTTCTTATAAACACTTAGGACAACCTAAAAGAAGAATCTATGAAGTTTCTAGTTTTCCTATTTTAAAGGCTACACAGTCAACAATCTGTAAAATAGAACTGTATACTAGCTTACACATTTTTCATTTGGCAAGATATGTTACAATGGAAAATACAATGTGCTTGCTCTTTGAGAAGAAACAAACTGGAATGCTCTTGTCATTACTGGGAAGAAGAATTACACTCACTTTTCTTTGCCTTTAATTTTCCCAGATTTTCTACAAATGTATTTTTATATCAGAAAACAAAAAACACAAGTGGTTACTTATTCCAGCTTTTACTTACCATCTTATTTTCTTGCTCATCTGCATTTTTCCCCTTCTTTATAGTAATTTGAACTTGGTATTTTTTCTCAATCCACTGCTGAATCTGTTTACTCTTTGTGTCCAAATCATGTTGTTCAATATTTGAAGAAAAAGTTAGTTCCTTTGTCACAGCTGGTCCTGGTTTGAAATAGTGAGATTTGATGCTAGAACTACTTACTAGTCTCCTTTGAAACTCGAACTTGCACGCACAACTTGAAGATCTTAAGTTGCCACAGAGGCCTCAGTGGTCCTCATCTGACTTGTAGCTTCACAGACCAGTAACTGCTCTTTTAAATTGGGGAGATAGACATAAAGTACCAATATTTTACCTGCCAGTTCAAATCTGATAGGGTTTTTGCATTATATATAACAGAACACTATAAATCAGGAAGAAAAATAACCAAGAAAAAATGAACATGAATAGGCAACTCAAAAAAGCTCAAATAGTGGCAGGAAACAGAACAGTAAGTAATGATTTCTCACCTATTAGCATGCAAAAATTATAGCATGACAGTACTAAGTGTAGGTGAGAATGTAGAGAATTTTCATATGTTGCTGATGAGAGCAAGTGCAACTATGTGACTTCATTGAATTTATAGTATGAACAAGTGTTCATAATGAAAAACTGGGAATAAACCCAATGTCATGAAAATGGATTAACAAATTTGATATGTTCTTAAAATATGGTAATTATAATAAACTAGCTATAGCTATTATGTAAATATGAACAGATATTAGAAACAATAGTGTCATTTATACTTTCTTACTATTAAAATCTAGTGTTTATGGGTGTATCTATGTAAAGAGTTTAGCAAGTGGATCTACACACTAAGAGTGAGCAAGGACAACTCTGRGGAAGGGGCTTCAACTTTTCTGTAGTGATTTCTACTAAATATGTGAAGTATAACCATGTTAACACTTGTTCATTTTGGATGATGGGTAACAAGGTTTATTATCTATTTTTTCTGCAATCTTTTAAATAAAGAAAACCTTTTAAAAAGAGTKTTTAACACCTCCTTGCTTCCTGGCAGTTCCTACACTTGGTCCTGGGTCTCCATTAGTAATGCCTTCCATATATTAGCCCTTCAACTTCTCCAGTCTGTTCAGTTTTTGTTGTTGTTCAACTTTTTTCAATGACATAGTTTGATGTCCTTTCCCCTCTGGTTGATCTCTTCTGAATATCTATTTTCCAATCAACATCCTTGTTAACTGTGGTGGTACAAAACTGAGCCACAGTCAACATGTGCTTTTCTCAAAGCACAAAACCTCAGGATGGCTGCCCAGGTACCAGTCTTCTGACAATTGTCCCAGGGTGCTTYCCAGTGAGCAATCTTCCATAACAATCAGCACTTTTTAGGAACCATGAAAAACAAGGATATCTTCACTTAATATCCAGCTCATGGCTTCTGTGAGGCTTCACAGATAAGTGCCTGGAATGGTGACTGGCCACATATGCAAATGAGCATGGATACTGATATTCTAATAAGATGCTTTGGTATGAGGTGCAATTTGGACCCCTTCAAAATTTAAAAGGTGCTTCCAAATAATTAACTGCCGCAGCAATTAACCAAACACTTCTAGTTAAGAGATGAGAAAAGCAAAACAAAAGAAGGAGTTAAGTGAATTGCCTAGGACAGGTCTGATTCCACCTCTTCTGAATTTCATTGCATCACTCAGAGACAAGGCTACAGGACAGAGGCAGGGTATTTCCATTGTTTAGGTTGGTTCACCTTGTTTCACCCTCCATTTTACAAAGGTTCAAAGAAAGGGACAATAGATASAGGGTATCAAGTAAAAACGAAGAGAGGAACAGAACTAAGGGATGGAGGAGGAGTCAAAGACACTGGGAATGCTGGTAAAGCCATGAATATTTTGAATTTYCCAGTTTCTAGTTTCCCACTGTCACAGGTACCATGGCAGATGTCAAAGTTTAAATTGCCAATTTTTGGTCCTAAAGGATTCAAGGAACAAACAGCAAAATACCTACCAGGTTTTAGTTTGGCCTTTTCCATGTCTCTGAGCCGTAGCCGTTCCTGGTGAATCTGTGTTCCTGTCATGAGCTGGTATTCTGGGGGCTCTGTGCTGCCGTTCCTCCTCACCAGCCTCAGGTCTCGCTCTTCCATGAGTCTAATYGCATCTGCTCGGTGCATGTTTCCCAAATCATTACCCTTCTCATCAAGGACACGAATAATTCGCTCACCAATTTTCCTTCCAATATTACTGAAAGTCGTATCACTCTTTTTTTTCGTTTTCCTCTCATCCTGGCTGTCCTCAACTRTACTAAATCTTTTTGCATGAATTAGGTAGGGCAGTTTTGGGGCAGAAGCAACCAGGGACAACTGTGCTGGGACTGTCTTTTGTACAATGTGTTTATCAAAACACCTTCCAATGCAATTATTTTCAGTCCTTAAGGTTTGTAGCATTAACCTCTTCAGAAGAGCAGCCATCCTAAGAAAGTAATAAGAAAAGTTCATTAAGATTCAATCATTTTCCAGGAATTATGGTACACACCTRTAGTCCCAGCTACAAGGAAGACTGAGGCAAGGAGGATTACAAGTTCAAGGCCAGTCTTGGCAACTCAGTGAGACCCTGTTTCAAAATAAAAAAGGGATGGGGATCTAGTTCAGTGGTAGAACCCTTGCCTAACATACACAAGGCCCTGGGTTCAAATTTCAATACCACCCCAAAAATTAACATTAATCATTCCCAYAGTCTGCTATGTGATATATATTGGGCCAAGGCTGCCTTCTGTAAGTGTTATGGAAATGCTGTTCTCAGGAAGACTAAATCCATGCGTGGAAGTTTGCACGTAAGTAAGATGGACCATTGGGTAACCCCGGCCAGATTAATTCATGGTGGTACTGTTCCTAGTACAAATAGTTATCAGAACAACCCAGGACTGCACATTTTTTTCTCCTATGCTCTCCTATACTCATTTAACTATTTTTGCCAGGAACTTATWGTGTCAACACTAAGAGCAAAGATCATACTGAGGGCTTATTTATGAGGATGCAGTATATAAAATGCCTGCTGATTTATAAATACCAGTTCATAAACTGCTAACCATTTATCTGTATATCTGATGGTATATAAAAGTTAAGAAAAGTATTATGGGAAGGGGAACCCTTCAAGMAGAATACTGACCTACTGGAAGAACAGACTGTCAGAAAAAATACTCCCTGAYATAAATTGAAGTGCTAGCCTCATARCCTATAAAGATCACTACCCAGGTAAGGTAGGCATTACTAGCAAGTGTTAMCTAACTAAGCATTAGGCATATATGACATTGGATTTACTTTATAGTGTAAGACTGAATTTGAAATGCTTTAAAATGACACATTGATTTTATGTTTCTCTGCTATCAAAATGCCTCTCTCATTCACAGGTTTGGTAAATCTTAGACACACAGGCTAAAGGAGTGACAGGAGGACCCATTCATCTTATTTAGGGTCTACTGAGAAACCATAAAGAAACGAGAATTCAGAGAGGTATGACTTATGAAAAATCAAAGAGGACAGGAGGAAGTGCCTCCTCCCRAAGAATGCTCACTGCACAGCCTACATGAGAATCACTGATGATATATAAAACTGTAAACTCCCTCGGGCCCTGGTTATGATCCATGTCCTATCCCAGCATGATCCCTTACTCCTCATGTTGATGAATGACCTGGAAAAAGAAATGGCTCTGGTTTTGTTCTTCAYAAGAAGCACAAATTGCTCTCCATAATGAGGCTGAGCTGTTTAAGAYCTAGAACTCCAACTTACAACACTGGAAAAAGTCCCCATATATCTTTGGCCAATTATTTAACCATTTTTTAGCTATTAAATGAAACGACTTAATAACCATTCAGAAAATATTTAAGAACCCTGTAAACTCAGAAGAGTCAGCACTAAAACTTGAACTTATTCCTGTTTGTTAATCTTCAAAACGGCCATGTCCTCTTCCGGAATTCCTTAGCTCAGTGACCTGCATGCCTAGCCCTTTGGAGGCAAATGACATCTCCATTCTCCCTTTCAATCCAATCCATTACCAAGTCTYAGCAACTTTACCTTCCTAAGTCCCACTCAGATTTATCCACTTTTTCCTACATTCACTGCCACCACTCTTGCTTATGATTGTCCATCTTGGGGTGGGGATGTGGCTCAAGGGGTAACAAGTGCGGGGCTCTGGGTTCGATTCTCAGCACCACATAAAAATAAAATAAAAAGATGTTGTGTCCACCGAAAACTGAAAAATAAATATTAAAAAAATTCTCTCTCTTCTCTCTTTAAAAAAAAAAAAGATTGTCCATCTCTTGTTGGTCCCTGCAACCAATTTTAGTCACCATACTGCTGTCCAAACCACACCAGCCCTTCTCCCCACCCCAGTTTAAAACTAACTGGCTGRAGATTAAAGATATCAATCTTCAGTAGGCCGAAAGAAGCTTCTCACTTTTTTCTGCCTAAACCACATGGCCTTTTCACTTTTTAAAGTACTCTTTCCTTCAATATAGGAAACTAAGGGAAATATGTCAGAGGCCAATTAATGCCTCTGCTCTTTCTCAGGGCATTATTTCTATTACCTCCACAAGTAAGCCAGAAATTTCACCTTCTTTCCCCCATTTGTCTGTTGGGCTCAACATAAAATATTTCCACAGTCCGACTTATTCTTCCCTTATAGCGCTTATTACAATTATAACTTTGCAATTATCTTAATACTATTGCGCTCCCTCACTAGACTATAAACTCTGAAGCAGGGAACAAATGTGGTTTATTCAYTAACGATGAGACTGGCACCAGAGTTGATCTTCCATAATCTCCCATCCACCCTCTGTATTTTTCTTAGACTGACATATTCTGTATCTTCTGTACTTGGAATTGTGGCTTCTCAGTAAGAAAACTTACTTTACGTCTCGTGAGAGTCTTAAACCATGGCACCTACTAARCGATAAATGAGAGGGGGGACCCCACAGTTACTTCATGAACTTCCCACTAAGACCTCCCCGGCGACAGCAGGCAGCAAAAGAAATGTATTTGCTTAGCTCAACCTTGCTAAACGCAAGCGCTCTCCGCTAGTCTGGATCAGCCGAGCTGCGATTCGSCTCTAGCCCAGGAAGCGAGCGCTTCCGGGCGGAGCTGACTTAGTCACGTGCCCAGCGCTTGCCACGCCCACCCGGCAGAGTGCTCGCGACGCGCCAGGACGAGAAAGGACGTGGGGACGTGCTGCGTGCGTGCGTGCGTGCAGGCGGGCCGGAAATGGCAGGGTGGAACCGGCAGCACCCAGTAGGACGGTTGCCGGGTCTAGGTCGGTGGTTACTGGGAAGCTTGGGCTGTGACCTGGACCTGAAAGCTTCGGCTTTGTAATCTCACAAAACCCCCGGCCTCCCACTCGGTGCTTGGGGATGCGGAGGGCTCGCCACCCTCCGCCCGGCAGGACGTTAAGCCYGACCTTCCTTGTTCTCGGGCCAATGCAAGGCCGCTGGCTCTGCACGCACATCCCCCAAGACCACGTCCTCCCTCCACAGGTCCCCTCACCGCTCGGCCCCCTTTACCTTTAGCATTACCTGTAACTGGGGTCGGCGATTGGTAATGTCTGACAAAAAGAGCCAGTTAACGAGCTCGGCGTCAGGACCCTTTCGCTTTCCGTAGTGGGCAGGGCTTCTCTTGTCCTTTAAAGGAAAGGTGACTTGGGAAAAATTTCCCCGACAAAAAATGCTGAGGGCATGGGTAACTAATGGCAGGGAGATTGCTACTCTTCTCCCGCTCCAGATGCGAGATGAAGATCAGTCACATCGAGGTTTTGCAGCAGTAGCTGATCACTTTCACTAGTTACATTACTTTAATGCCAATGTTTTTATTTAGTGAGATATTTAATACAATGTTTTATAAACGTCTCACAATCTTTGTGAGTTAGGAAACATTGTCCTCGATTTACAGGGGAAAGACAGACTCAAGAAGTAAAAACATTCTCTTAATTCCCAGATAACACCGGGCAGGCTGGAACCCCGCCTCCGACCACCACTTGCAGTTTCTGGGTTCCTAACTGAGGCTTCCCGAAGAAACCGGTGATGGATAAAGAGCAAGTCAGATTGAAGTGCTGTTCGAATTGCGAGTTGTTCTAAGCGGTCGTCAACGCCGCGTGTTTAATTGACTTGCCCAGAGTCAGCGAAGAGCCAGTCCGGAACCCTGCTGTTGTATGAACCCCGTGGTTTCTCTCCTCCGGTCTGTGGGGGCCCACCCTGTACTACCAGGCTTCTGGCTCCGTTTTAGTGTTGGTGTTAATCACCTTCCCCTCTGATCATTAGTTAAAAAAAAAAAAAAAAAAAAAAAAAAAAAGCTTAGTGTCAGAGTGAGAATCTGCAGGCCGGGCTTAATGAAGCCAACTTAATCGTTCCATTCCTCCTATAAAGTTGAACTATCGTTTACTGGCTACTTATAGTCTGCTGGAATACCTTGTCTTTTAATGGTCATTAAATAATTCTTTGAATCAGGTATTACCTCTTGTAAGTGAGGAATCTAGGTCAGCCTTAAATAGCTACATGAGAGCAAAGACTATGTCTCCTGTTCTTCATCAAATAACAGCATCTGGCACTTTAGGCACTGATAATTTGTGACATAAACCTTGAGGCAACTTGTGTSTGACCAAGTTGAGGGTTAGTGGCTGCATGTTCGCTATTTCCAAGTTAGGGATTCATTTTATTCTACTGAAATTATTCCTTAGTACTAAGACATTTAAAAAAAAAAAAGTATATGTAGACATAGAGTGAATAGGGCAATGCCTTGGGAAGTAGTAGGTACTCTACATCGGTAAATGCCCACATTTATGATAACATTTACTTACCAGCCAGTCACTGTTCTAAACACTTGACATTATGTCAAATTAATTTAATCCTCAGGGCAACAGCATGAGCTAATTACTATTACTACCCATTTCACGGATAACTGAAACATGAAGAAATTAATAATTTGCCCAAGTTTACACAATCAGTAGAAGAATCAAACATTTTTTAAAAAGAAAAAACTCAGTGGGGCTGCAGTTGTGGCTCACTTGACTAGCATGTGTGAGGCACTGAGTTCAATCCTCAGCACCACATCAAATAAATAAAGGTTTTAAAAAAAGTTAGAAAAAACTTGAACAGCTGTGTGCTCTTAACCCTAAATACTCCTTATGCTGCTGCACTAGAGTAGTGATTGAAGTGTGGACTTAAAAGTCCTCCTGTTTGGAGCCCCTCTTTGAAGGGTCACCTGTCTAGAGTGATTTGGGCAGCTTTCTGCTGTTGTCAGGTGTATCCAACACCTATAAGACAGTTGTTTAGTTCTCCTGGGAGGACATAGCAGAAAAGAGATGGATATTACAGACATGCTCTCAAGTGGAGAGAACCCATTTTTTTTCTTCTCTTGAACTCTTTTAACCTTTAGTTGAAATGAGATGTGGAGGCCTTTAAAGAGTCGTTGAGAGCCTTGGACTCAGCTTGGTGGTGGCAGATTTTGAAGACCTTTGAATAAAGAGTGCATAAAGCAATCACTGGCTCCTCCAAGCCCCCTTCCTACATTTATGGTCTCTACTTGCTAAGGCACACTTTCTGGGTTGGGGAAGTGATTACTATGCCACAAATCTGTAAACTGATCCATTGTGTGCATAAAAAAGGACTGGGACATCCATWGAGCTTTCCCAGTTGTCATTATTCCTGTCCCTAATTTACAAATAAAACCCAAGTAACCCAATAAGACTCATCCTTGCAACTAAAAAGACATTTTCTATCAATAGTAAATTCCATGGCAATTCCATGGATTTTTCTCAATGGTTATATTCCTGTTTTGCTCTGGCAAAGGATTAATGAAAATATTCTGTCCCTCTCCTTGCTTATTAGCTTTCACAATCCTTCTCTTTCCACTGACACCAGGAGACATGTAAGATTCAGTTCTTATCCCAAGGTCCTTGAGATAATATCAATCTTGCAGAGAAATTATTCTGTGGTGACTTCTCTAAAAATTTATTAACACTAGGCCATGATGCTACAATGATCGAAAGAATTTTAAAAGCAAATCTTTTAAAAATCTAGTAAAAATCCTGAGATAGCTTTTTTTTTTTTTTTTTTTGAAGTTACATAGATGCTACCAAGCTTGTGTGGGTTTATACATTCAGTGTGTTCCTTAACAAGTAGTTGTTCTGGGACTACAGTTACTTTATATACTCCCCCATAWGATTATAAGCTTTTATTAGTGCAGTTTTGTTGAATAGGGGAATTGAAGTCTGTTGTGYGTGAGATCCTCTACAGTGTCAACTAAATCTTGCTGAGATTCATTGTCGTAAATGGCAGCCAACTCTGCTGTTACAGTGCCAGTTTAATCATTGAGAGGATCCATGTTTGCTGTAGCTTTTGTTTACCAACTCGTAAAAGGACATAGAAAGCAAGAAATGGGATCAGGGGCTTTAACTCAGTATTAGGAAACTAAATGAAAATCTCCTGAAGATATTCACAGCCTGATACCATGTGTTTATTATCGTAAACTATTGTCTGGAAACCTTCATAAGGAATCTCTATCATTCACCTTCTGCAGGACTGTGGTTAATCTGCTTAAAACATGTAAACAGCCATATAATTAAAAAAAGAACAACAACAAAAACAAATCCCAGAAACCTCCAGGCAAGGGTATTTTAGCTTCTTGTTTGATTGTTTATAAGATTCAGGAATCTTTTCCTGTGTGTAACCTAAATTCATTTCATTCCTACTGTGGCTGGTTTCCCAGTAGAGCTGGAGAACATCTGGTGGCCACATCTGTGTTATAACCCTTTGTGTGCTCCCAAACTATTATTAGATTCAGAATAAATTTCTCTGTCATGTGTAAGATTTCCCATAACATTACACATCAGATTAATCATTTATCTTGTGAAAAAAATGATGAAACCAGTTATTAAAAAACAGTAGTGGTTGTGATTGAGCAAAAGGAATATGTCTAAAATGAGTGACATATTGCAATGAATATTTTTAAAAGCTTTCGTATCTGTTAAAAAATGTTTATATATGGAAGTTTCATTTATGTGAAAACTCTTAGTGCAAATGAGTGAGAAGAAAAACAGCAGAGCCATGTATTTATGTTTCAAAAGTATTGAGTTTAGGGGTGATTCTGTTACCTTTGGTCATTTTTGAAATATTTAATGAAAATAATTCTCATTGCTTTTGTAGGATGTCATGTAGAACTAAAGAGCTAGTATATGAAACCTTGCAAGATGTTCAGTGTTAACTACTTATGGAAATCAAAGCAAAACAGAACCAAGTTATTCATTAGAATTTTACATTTAAAATAGAACTGAATACTATTTTTAAGTGCACATCTGAGATCTTCTAGTTTATAGCAACTTGAAGAAAGCAGGACTGATGGAAAATACAACGTTGGTGATAGAACAAAGTTGTACTCTCACTATTTCCCACCTTTGAGGMAAACAAAATTAAAGGCAAATAATTCCATTTGGGACAGTTCCTCCAGTGTGGAGTTTTATATGTTTACTGTACGGGAAGACTTTCCACTGTCTTTGGGAGTCATTGTTTTGCTGCTTTTCCCCTGAAAGTTGCTAGGTTCTGCTGCAAAGATTTTAAAGGATGCTTTGTTGGCAGGCAAGCTAGGACGCATCCATGACCTTATCAAAGTGGAAATGAAAGCTCTCAGTTTTTCTTCTTTCTTTCTGTCCTCTTTTTTACCCCCTTTTGCAACAGTAAATCTACTAATTTTACAGTCAGTTGAACAGCAATGGATTAATTTGTGTAAAGTCTGCATTCACAAAGGAAACCTGAACTTCATTGGCTTGAATGCCTGAAACTGCAGTGTGATATTTGAAGGGTAGACACTCTTACAACTTGCTCTAGAAGGATGCAGGCAGGCCACTGTCACCTGCTTCTCAGCACAGGTGCTGACCCCTCGGTCGATGCGGGGCCTCCTGACAGGGTAGCAGGAAGGCTGGGTCTTTGTGTGCTACAGAGAACGCTTTTCCAATGACAAGGCCAGTTTTCTCCAGCAGCCTCAGGAAGCAGAAGAAAGGAGAGGTGAAGGTCACCACTAGGGTCATGATGGGTTAAATTTAGTTAACATCAGAGGTTATAGCTTTTAACAAGAGCTTCAAGAAAACTTATTCGAAGATGCAATTTGTTTCTTCTTTGTCCACTGTTATTTTTTTTAACCCTATTGATGTGACAGCTTAACAAAGTTTTTACATGCTGGAGGTTTTCATCCTTTAAAGAATAAAGAACTGTGTTCCTAAAAGAGATGCAGGTGGAGGGCTTTATAAAGCTTCCATGATTTTCAAATTGGGAGCTTTAAAATAGGCTCCCTGCTTGGCTAAGTCAAAAATAATCTGTGAGGGATGTTGAAAAAAATCCCCATTAGAAATGGAGGAACGCTTCAGCAATCAGATGCAGAGGCTCAAACTTCTAGAAGATTCTTTGTATTTTTCTCTCAGCTGTCCTAGCATAGATTTCCCAGTTGTTCAAAATTACCAAAGAGGCCTTCTCTTAGTTTCCCTGGATGTAGGTGTCTAAATTTAGAGCATTATTCTGGGCAGAACAACTTGTTTATTTCTATGTAAACAAAAAAGATGGTTATAGATTTCTGGTTATATCCTTTATGCTCTCTCTATAATTCAGTTACTCAACA